AACTATTGAACAAAGTTAAGGGAAACATAATGGATGAGCAAAGAAGATATTGCAAAGACAAACTAAAATTAACTATTAGTAAAATCATCTTTAAAAAGAATCAGGGTATTTTTGTTTTAGTTTTTTTCTAATGGGTATTTCTTTAATCTGTTTGACAAAATAGAAGCAGAGTAATCTGTACATTCACATCAGTCCCCTTTTCAACTACTAATCAGATTTATGTTTTGAAATGCCAAACTCATTTTTTCACATATTTTTTTCAAAGACAAATTCCCTGGTCTCTGTGCCTTGCATTTTAAATTTGAATCTTTAAGGTGGGAACTGAAAATCTACATTTTTTAATATGAATCCCAGTGGTATTCTCAGACTTGATTGGGAAACACTTTCAAAGTACGGCCTGTATTTCCAATACATATGAATAGTCAGAGTTCCACATACTTGATAAATCATATTTACTTTTCTGTGTATCTTTTGCCCTGAAGACAATGTAGGGGGCTAAGATTTTGAAGGTAGATAAGTGACATTATGTTGAAAACTAACAGTTTAGGTCACAAATTCTGAATAATCTAAATTATTTGTGCAATTCCTGAGAATAATTTGGACATTCTTTGGACTCACTATGTAATTTTTAGCAGATGTTTGGAATGACTTGCATTTCTTTGGTTAACCAAATTACATGAAAAATGTTAAATTGGGTCAGTGATCTGTCATCATATTTTAATCGTTCTTAGTGCACTTATGGAATACTTTTATAATCCCATGTTAATTACTAACTGCCCTACTCTTGGAAGAAAATAAGTAAAAAAAAAAAAACAAAATGAGGACCAGGAACCTCCTAGAGCTTTTGGTACTTAGAATTACTTTGGTAGTTCATGTTGTCTGCCTTTATGATGGCAAATATATTTATTCACATACTGATAAACAGACCCTCCCCCTCAAAAAAAAAAGTGACAATGTGTGATTTACCCTTCTTTTAAGCTATTTCCCAAGCTAAAGTTCATAATATAAAAAATTCAAATGTTGACAATAGTTCTTCCAAAAATTTCTAGAATGTCACTTGATACATCATGAAATTATTTACTCATTAAGCCACTGATTGAGTAATTCAATAAGTAATTGCAAATCTACTACGGGTTAAGTGCTCTGGGGAAAAAAAAGTCAGTTTCAGTCCATAGCTCCCTGGAGATCATGGTCAAGTTGAATTTACTGTGAAAGGTGAGGTTTATTCCACACTTGTGAACACAACCCATAAAATGGTGCTTTTACAAAACTACTACCTGGATCTTGGACACAGCTGCAGTTGTAAGAAGGAACAAAGTCTTGAGGCTGACTTACTTCATTCCTATATACCACATTCTGTGGAAGTCCTGGCCTTCCAATCCATTTGTCATCAGACTTAGCAGGCCCACCAGACAACGCTCATCTGGCCTCATGCTTCCGTTCCAAAGTGCTGTAGTCCATGGTGACCTTCAGTCTACTGTGGTCCATGCTCTTTGGACTGATGTCATGGGCATATGGCTTGCCTTGCTCACCAGGCCAATACTTGGTTCAATGCTGTACTGCCACTGCACTGAAATTCTTAATGTTTTAACAAGGAGACTCACATTTTCATTTTGCACTGGACTGATCCTGCTAAATTTTGTAATTGTCCCAATTACCCAAATTGTCACTGCAGCATTAAATCCAGAAGATTTGAAATTTTTCCTCTTCTCATTTTTAATTCAACTCATAAACAAGCTGGCTCATTTTCTTTAGATCTTAGCTAAAGTTTCACCTTTTCAGAGTAGCTTTTTTCAACCACCATTTTGAGGGAAATCTTGCTGTTGGTCATTTCCATATATGTTGGTGCTTATTACCACTGAAACATCTCTACCAATGTTGACCTATTTCGTGTATTTGTTTACTTATTTCCGAGGAAGGGAAGGTCTTTATTGAATCTTATTTAGTGTTTTATCTTAATGACTTAGAAAGTTTAGATGACATTTTTTAAAGATAATAAATAAATTAATAAAAGAAATACAGTGAATTTGAAGCATAAAAAAATACAAGTGTGATAGAAGAAGAATCTGTCAAAAGAAAGAAATACCAATGATTTATGGATGTTTGTCCTTATCTTCTCAAAGGCAAAACATATAAGTTGATATGGAGTGATGCTTTTCAATATTAAAAGTTTTAAAATTTCACTATTGTTTAAAAATGACTTTTCTAATAAAAGTCTACTTCTCATTACAAATCATCAGACATATGGATATTGTACTTAATAGAAAAAATAATAAAAATTGATATTTTTACCTTTTGGGACTTTATAATGTATCAATAATCTACTTAAATGTGCAATAAATATTGTATTTTGAGTACAAGAGAAATATAGATCAATTATCTTCAGTTTGGTGCTACTTAAAAAAAATATAGCTACCATTTTTGTTAGTATTCCCTACCTTTTTTTTCCAAGAGAATATAAAAAGGAAGGAGTATATCTAAAACTCAAGGGTCATTATGTATGCTACCAAATCTTCAGGCCATTCAACACATAACAGTGATTAGAGGCCAAAAATCATACTATTTTCCTCATGAACATCTTTTTTTTTCTGGGCATGTATTCTTCTTCCTGAAAAAATTACATATCCAGTTAAAATGATCATATAATCAAGTGAGTAGGTGTATAGAAATGTCAAATAAGAATGATAATATTTCCCACGTACTTTTTTTCAAAAGTGCTGTGAGAATTGATATGAAAATGTCTTTGAAGTGTTTTGAACTCCTTGGAAGAAAGATATGGTATAAATACAGGGTTGTATTTTTGGTAGTATGATTCCAATGGCCCCTAGTATATGTGCTATGACTTTAATGTTAGCAGAAATGGAGTCACCTTTTTTGTCCTTACTCTTCACTATAGATGGAAGACCAAAGTGATGATTTCTTTTGGTGTCCTTAGTTACCTTTTGTTTTAGAAGCAGAAGCAGACACTGATTCAGTGGACAATTTTATTCTAATTTCAAGGTTTAAGCATTAAAGCATACTGTACTGATAACACAGAACATTATTAGTTGTCCAGGAATGCTTTAACAAGATACCATAGACTAGGTGGCTTAAATGTAGAAACTTAATTTCTTACAATTCTGGAGGCTGACAGTCTGAGATCAATGTGTTGATCAACTCGGTTTCTCTGACACCTCTGCCTTGGTGTACTCCCTTCTGAAGTACTGAGGGTGAGAACTTCAACTTTGGTATTTGTGAGGGACACAATTCAGTCCCTAACACTCCAGTGATTTGGGATTATGCTTTTTGGGAATAACTAATCCATAATTACATAAACCCACAGTTACAACTTTTAAATGGTTCCCATCACTCTGAGAATAAAGCCCAAACCCTTTCACACAACCTAAATCACCCTGTTCTTCTGGCTTTAATCATATGCCTTTCTCCCTCACCTTTTTTCCAGATATACTGTCCTCCTCTCTAGTTTTCAAACAGGCTCACCCCTTGCCTTTGGCTGATAGATTGTTTTCTAAGCTTGTTAAATAATTTTCTCTGGGGTCTTAGCTTAATGTTATCTTCACAAAGTGATTATCTTTGGCCACATTATTTAAATTAGTCCTAGTGATATTCTTTACCTTATCTGTTTATTTTCTGAATAATATATGAGAAAAAGAAGAACCATTCTCTGATGTTGGAGCACTGATATGATACTTTAGCACAGGCTTCCTTGTTATTATCAACTGATCCAACTCTTATAGCAAAGCCACATTATACTCCTATTGGTCTTAAAATCTCCCAGAACATTCGCATCAACCGGGTCACTGAGAAACTCTCAAAACAACCACCACCTTCTCTTCCCCTAAACAATGATTACTAGTTTTTTTTTTTTTTTTTTTTTTTAGCCAGTATAATTTTAACCTTTCCCTAACCTGCCCATTCTATAGATAAAATTTACTGACATATTCAAATCATACAATTGTCCCCTGCTTTATGACTACACTTAAATCTTACAATCTCCTCAATCTTACCCAACAACAACAAATAAATAAATAAAAGAACCACATATGCATTTTTTCTAATGATTTGTTATTTAGCTATACAGCATGACCCTAAGGTATGTGCTCTCTCTCTCTCCACACATAGTAAACACCACTCGCTCAACTGCAGCTGTGCCTGGTAATCTTTGGTTGAGCAAATTGCCATCCAGATTATTATTTACAGTCCTGATTGGAACTATTTCCTCCATGCAAGTGCAAACTACCTGTGGGAAAGACCTGGACTTTTTTCAGTGCTCCATGGTTGCCAGCAGTTTTCACAACTCTCACAGTGCCTAGCATACAGCAGGCACACAATTAATATTTGATGAATAAACTAATGAATCAGTGCCAAAATATTTATAACTGCATTTTATATACTCTTAAGCACCTCTCTTTAGACCACTTCTGTCTTTCCTACAAATATTGCAATTGAAGTGGAGTTTGGGGGTATAATTCCTGAAGAGAGAATGGCATCTTATAAATGGTGCACATGGAAGTTTATTCCAGCTGCTGGGGATACAACTCATTTTAGGAGAAAGAAAACATATTATTTGGTGACGGAACACAAAAGGTTGTGTGGACACTAAGTTAAAGTAAGCAAATGGCTTGTTTCCGAAGTATAATCCCTAGTAGTACATCTTGAGCATATATTGGTTATGGTGAGCTAAGAAAATATGTTAAATAAAATAACCACAAAATTGTTTGTTTCCAGAATTTTGATTAAATTTCAGTCATTGTTTTCATTAAATATTCCCTGTTTTTACCATATATATATATATATATATATATATATATATATATATATATATAGAGAGAGAGAGAGAGAGAGAAATATATATATAATTTTCTCTAGGGTCTTGGCTTAATGTTATCTTTGCAAAGCAATTATCTTTGGTCACATTATAAACACACACACACACATTTGTTAAAACTATCTTCTTATTTATTGTAACCTTACTTGTAAAAAATGGTTGGTATATATTCTCTTTAAAGGAATTTTAATGTATAATATGTAATCAAACAGTATTAGCTCTTTGCATTATAAATTATAATAGGAAGACATCTGTTAATTTGTATGCCATGAAGTTCTTGACTTTTAAAATTGCTTGCTTTCAAAACAGTGAATTATAGCTGTTTTAGTTGGCTATTTCACTGCTGTGACCAAAAGACCTGATAAGAACAACGTGGGGAGGAAAAGTTTATTTGGGAGCTCATGGTTTCAGAGGTCTCAGTTCATGGCTGATTCCATTCCACAGGGCTCGAGGTGAGGCTGAACATCATGGCAGAAGAGTGTGGTGGAGGAAAGCAGCTCCAGAACATGGCACCAGGAAGCAGGCAGAGAGCTCTGAACAAAAAAGACAAAATATAAACCTCAAAGGTATACCCCCAGGGACCCACCTCCTAGAGCCACACCATACCTGCTTACAGTTATCACTCAGTTAATCCCTATCCGTGATTGATGCACTGATTAGGTTAAACCTTTTATAACCCAATCATTCACTCTAAACCTCTTGCATTGTCTCACACATGAACTTTTAGGAACACCTAGTATCTAAACCAAGAATAATAGGTACATTATTTATAAAAACAAATAAAGCCAAATAAAACACATGAGTTCAATTTAAAATTCTTTTCCCTACTAGATAAGAATTTTATCAGATATAGTATAAAATAAGATATTAATAGCAAGCTATTCAATTTCACAAATATTTTTGAGATCTAAGTTTTTATAAAACCTTGCAAATTATAAGGACAAAAGAGATGGAATTTGTGTTGCATCTGAATTGTATAGGCAATCCATGCAGTAGATTCTGATTCTGAATTTTAAATTTCAAATCTTAAGATAATCCTATAGAAAAGAGAAATTCCGAATTTTATAATAGGATTTTGATTTACTCTCAAATGTATAAATATTGGATTCAATAACAATTAAAGATGTTACTTATCATTTTAAGTAGGCTAGCATAAAATATTAATTTAATTAATACAAGTTATAATAATATATATGTAGATGTTTTTAATTCCACATAATCCCAGGTTTTAGACTTAATGTGAAACATAACAAAATAAAAACAACTACCATCACAAAACCTCTGATGACTGAATTTAACAATGTGTTATTCTTTATAAAAATTACTTCTGAAATTAGTACATAAATATCATGTAAAACATTATGCTTATAATTTATAATGGTGTCCATAGGTCCACACTTGCAGCATTCAATCAGAATCTGTTATTTTATTATTTTAATTTATAAAATTAAATTCATTCTAGTGGTTAATAATTAACACTTGGCAAGAAACGCTTTGTTAATTATGTTTATTTTTTATATAAGTGAGTACATTTCATTTATTTATTTTCAAAAGGTAAGTACATATATATATTTTTTTTTCCTGAGATACAGACAGATTTATTTAGGAACACAGATACACATTCCTAGGAGAATGCAGGCTTTCCTGAAGATGGGAAACTTTGGAGATGAAAGCAGAGAATATACATTTGAGGGAGAATGTGAGCCATTTCTAGAGTGAGACAGTCACATCATTTATTTTGATAGACATTTACAAATTACCTACCAGAAGATAAATTCATAGGTACCTAAGCTCTGGGAAACTTTATTTTATGGAGTGTGAACAGCTGTGCTATAAATACTGAATTATGTTTGAATTACCACTGGGAACAAAAAGTGTGAAAAATTTTGTTGCTTTAATTGAAAAAAAATTGTTTTCAAGTGCCACCTTCTCAAGTTCGATAAAGCTTTAAAGAAAAAAGAATACAAGTTATATCTTTTTTTTTTCCCTTCAGTGCAGTAGGGGACAGGGGTTTGAACCTAGGGACATTCTGCCAGTGAGCTATACCCCAAGTTCTTTTTATTTTTTATTTTGAGATAGGATCTCACCGAGTGGTCCAGGCAGTCTTTGACTCAGTAACCAAAGTAATTGGGTAGAGATTAGATCTTCATGTCATCAGAAAACAATCCAAACTCAAGAACTTCCAAAGTCAAGTTTGTTTTTTGTTTATTGTTGTTATTGTTTTTTTATTTTTTCCTCAGATAATTTCTGAACTACTTAGTTTAGTGGTTTTCAGTTAACTACAAAGATGGAGGAATGGAAAGATTCTGGTTTGATTAGGACAAGAGTAAGGCAGCATCAAGGGAACACAATCATGTTTATGGTAGGATTTATCTCGGTCTTGGTTAATGTTTACATTGTGAGGCATCTTCCTTTGAAAGAATCACCAAGAGCTCCTTAACCTGGAGGAAGAGGAGGAATGATGGTAGGATGATGTCGAAAAGCTTCAGAGCTTTCTCTAAGCAGTTTTCAAGGAAGAGAGGTGAGAGTGACTACAGTAGATAAAGCATATTTTCTCTTGTTCCTTGAATTTAAACATGAATCACCCATGGCCTGGAAAGGGGTTCCTCTGGCCTATGTTTTCCTTTTAGAACACAAGTATTTTTGAAAGAAAAACAAATGGAGTTTATCCCATGCCCTGTAGTGATTGTTAGAATTAAAGGGAAAAAATAATTCTGTGCAGTGATTATTTATTTAATCCAATTTAAAAGTGTTTGCTTCAGAAATTATTTGGGAGCTTTATTTTTGAGACATCGGAACAGAATGAGATTATGTTCTTATTATTGCCCATATCTGCTAAAGAATTGTTGTGTCTATTAAGCTCCCCTTTCTTTTATACCGCCAATATTCTTGGTCATGAATTTTCCAACAAGATAATAAGTGCATTCTTAACTACTGAGGATTTAAAGGACAATTTTTAATGCACATGCTCATTTTTTAAAGGGCTAGCTAGATCCTTGCTAAATACTTTTAGCTTAAACGTTCCATGATTCGTGGGTGTTCTTTCCAATATTATCCAAGCTACTTTTTATTTGTTAGCTACTTTTTTTTTCTATTCCACATGAATTAACTTAATATTATCTACCATGCTTCATATGTGAGTATTCCCGGTCTACTTTCTGAAATGAAAACAGTAATTCCATTGGCATATAGTTCTTAATATTGTATCACCATTTAAACATTTTCTGGCATTTATATAAGCTCTGAAAACAAAAATATATAAAAAAGTTTGTTTATTGCCTTTTGCTTCATCTGTTTACAACAAAATTATTTGACAATTGTATCGAAAGTAGAGTTCTCTTCACAAATAGACTCATCCAAAGATCTCGGGGTTCTGTACAGTTTCACACCAACACCTTATGATAGGTGTTCCATATTATAAGAAAGTCCCAGAATATTCATTCTGAAGCAATATAGAAATAACTTTAAACAAAAATACCAACTGTGTCCCCTAAATATTTTCAGAAAAGTGGAGAATTCTGGAAATAAAAAAAAATGATACATTTGCTCCTCAGGTGTCAGAACATGGAGTAATTCTATATAGTAATCATATCTATATTTGGGTGTATTCTCATTAGGTCAAAGCAATTAGTCTATCACCTTGCTTTTTTCTTCCTTAGATGAGCACTACACAGAATTCCATCAACAATGCATTAAAAATTAGACATCTAATTACAAAGTCAATATTAGTAAAACTTTCCTCTCTGATCCTCTCACTTATGGCACTCATCTATTTCCCCACCGATTAACCTCCAAAACTCTGAGATTCCATTTCTTTGTGAAGCTCTACTGAAGATTCTAGATTAATGTAAAACTTATTCTTGGTTCTATTTCTGGCAAAATATGTATCTTTGTGGAACTCTAATCTGGCATTTCCAATTTGTCTCATCATTAGAATTATATGGGAAAGTACAAAGAAGAAGGAAAGCAAGGAAGGGAGGGAGGAAGGACAGATAGACAGGGGAGAGGGAGAAAGAAAGAAAGGAAGGATCAGGAAGAAGAGGGGAAGAAGTGAGGTGGACACTCTTTAATTATACTTTCAGGGTCTGTAAATCTGAATTGGAGCTCAGGATATTATTCCTTTCAACCACCTTACTCAACTTACTCAAATTGTAATGCATTCTTGAGAACCACTACTTTAAATGTATGTATTGATAAAATTTACAAAATTTATTAAATTTATTAAAAGCTAATTTTTTGATGGTGTTTCTTATTTTAGATGATAATTTCTATTGGAAAATAAATCATAGCTGACTATGACTTTTATTATTTTATATCCCTCTTAGTACCTTGCTCAACAACTTAGAGACAGAAATTATGGTAAAGTTTGTTTGGTTGATTTATTAGCTACTTCCCATCCTTGGCTGCTCTCCTTCCCTTGTCCATTATCTGTGGCTTTTAAGAGTGTTGGGCCTCTTTGCTCTCTCTTGCTACATCCCCTCTCTTGGGGATATTATTTGCTTGCTTGTATTTAATAATCATTTATTGATAAACAAGTAAATGTATTTGAGCTTTTATATCTTTCATGGTCTGTTCAATGTTTATATAAACCAAAGTCCAATGTACAATGTCATGCAAAGTAAAGAAGTACTAAATAAATATTGAATTGACTGAATGTTGATAAACTGTTTAGATTTTTGTATATACCTGGCATTGAATATTTTTCAGATAAATTCACAAAAATAGATCATGCTATGTCTAGAGACATCAAGGTCTTTAGCTGCAAGCTCCAAAATATTCTTTATTAAAACCAGAAACCTAGACAAAAATGAGAGTGTGCATAAATTAGGAAATTAAATATAGAATGTGAGTTTGAATCCTGGGTTTGTTTCTTAGTATATGACTTTGGGCTATTCTCTGATTCTTAATTTTCTCATTTTTGAAATTAGTTATAATCATAACATGTAGGATTGTTGGAAAATTAAACCAGATCTTACTTTGAATTTGTGTATTATGAGAGCTACAAAACATTATTTATTATTGTTGTTTTATTGCTACTATAATATTTTTCATAATTCCTGATAAGCCTGATTTAAACAGTATTAGTCTCTACTGCTGTTTTCATAGATCAAGTCATAGGCCAGTTTGAGGTCTCCTTTAGAAATCATTAAGTTTACTTGCTAGGGCAATAGAACTAACTAACCTTATAAACCTAAGAGCTCTTGACTAGAGTAGCTGGGTAACAGTAATGATTCTTACTGATTTTTAAAGAAAGAGTAACAGATGGGATTTGGCAGATTTTATAGAAGTATATTCAAGGGGAAGAAAAAAAGATGTGTTTACATCTTAAATCTTGCATTTAGAAAAAGAGTGATACAAATTCTAAGTTAATGCAGTAAGGAAGCCAGCAGTGTCTCCCCTTTACAAAGAACGTGCCTGGAGGAAAAGCATATCCTTGGAATTTAAGAGTTGGTTGCATCTTAAGTAGTATTAGACTGTGTTAGTAATCTAAAAGGTGCTTGCCCAAGGATATTTTGGCATTCATTCCATAATT